TAAACATAGATTTTCTGTTATTTGCAGCCAGATGCATTCTTACTGATTTAAGTTTATAGAGCCTTCTTAAAAGCCTCAACCACAAACTGGATAACCTAGATGAAATGGATAAATTCTTAGAAGCACACAACCTATCCAAACTGACTCAAGAGGAAATGGAAAATCTCAACAGACCTATAACATGTGAAGAGATCGAAATCAGTGATCAAAAACCTCTCAGCAAAAAAAAAAAAAAAAGTCCTGGACCAGATGGTTTCACTGGGGAATTCTACCAAACATTTAGAGAAGAATTGACACCAATACTGTTTAAACTCTTCCACAAAAACAAGGAATACTCCATAATTAATTCTATGAAGCAAATCATAACCCTGATACCCAAACCAGACAAAGACACCACAAAAAAAGAAAACTGCAGGCCAGTATCTCTTATGAGTATAGATGCAAAAATCCTCAAGAAAATACTAGCAAACAGAATCCAACAGCATATTAAAAAACTCATACACCATGACCAAGTGGGATTTATTCCAGGAATGAGCAATAGTTCAACATTAGAAAATCAATTCAACGTAATACACCACATCAATGGAACAAAGGAAAAGAACCACACGATCATCTCCACAGATGCAGAAAAAGCATTTGACAAAATCTAACACCATCTCTTGATGAAAACCCTAAAGAAGACTGGAATAGAAGGGAAATTTCTCAGTATCTAAAGAAGACTGGAATAGAAGGGAAATTTCTCAGTATGAGTCAGGGAATGTATGAAAAGCCAACAGCCAACATTATACTTAATGGAGAAAGACCGAGAGCTTTCCCCTTGAAATCAGGAACAAGACAAGGGTGCCTACTCTCACTTCTATTCAATACTGTATTAGAAGTCTTAGCCAGAGTAATAAAGAAGAAAAAGAAATAAAGTATCGAGATTGGAAAAGAAGATGTAAAATTATCTCTATTCATGGATGACATGATCCCATATATAGAAAATCCCAAAGAGTCTGCAAGAAAACTTACAGAGCTAAGAGAGAAATTTAACAGAAGTTGCAGTGTACAAGGTCACCAAACAAAAATCAGTTGGGTTTCTATAGATCAGCAGTGAGAAATCTGAAACGGAAATTAGGGAAACAATTTCAATAGCATCTAAGAGAATAAAATACTAGGAATAAACCTAACCAGGGACATGAAGGACTTACACAATGAAAATTATAAAACAATGCTGAAGAAGACTTAAATGGAAAGACGTTTCATGTTGTTGGGTTGGAAGGCTTAATATTGTTAAGATGTCAATACTACCCAACGTGATCTATAGATGCAATGCAATCCTGATCAAAATTCCAATACCCTTCTTTACAAAAATGAAACACCCAATCCTCAATTTTATGTGGAATGGCAAGAGGCCCCAGACAGCTAAAGCAACGCTGAAAGAGAAGAACAAAGTAGGACGACTCACACTACCTGATTTTAAAACATATACAGCAACAGTAATCAAAACAGCTTCGTACGGGTGTAACAATAAACACACAGATCAATGGAACAGAATTTGCACCTGGGTGGTGCACATGGTTAATACCCTCAGCTGCTAACTGAAATGTTGGAGGTTCAAGTCCACCCAGACGCACCACAGAAGCAAGCCCTGGCAATTTACTTCTGAAAAATCATCGATTGAAAACCCTATGGAGCAGAGTTCTACTCTTGCACACCTGGGGTTGCCATGAGTACGAATCAACTTGATGGCAACTGGTAAAAAGGTATACATAAAAATTAAAGGGTGGTGCAGTGGTTAAATGCTCAACTGCTAACCCAAAGGCTGGCAGTTCAAACCCACCAGCCACTCCACGGGAGAAAGACAGGGCAGTCTGCTTCTATAAAAGACTACAGCTTTGGAAACCCTATGTGGCAGTTCTACTTGGTCCTATAGGGGTTGCTATGAGTCGGAATCAACTTGATGGCAGTGGGTTTTTTTTTTTTTTTGACTGGTGTAGGGCTAGATATGGTCCTGGGGTAGAGCGTACAGAAAGGGCGATAAGTAATACTGAAAGAACTACAAATAATTTGGGAACTTGACATATGACAGAAGTGAATAAAAAATAAAAGACCAACTTTTTAATAAAGCTTAATTTTGTGATGGTTCATGTGTCAACTTGGCTAGGCTACAGTGCCCAGCTGTTGGTCAAACACTAGTCTAGATGTTGCTGTAAAGGTCTCTCATAGATGTGATTAGCATCTATAATCAGTTGATTTTACTGAAGAAGATTACCCTTGATAATGTGGGTGGGCCTCATCCAATCAGCTGAATGTCTTAAGAGGAAAAACTGAGGTTTCCTGGAGGAGGAATTCTGTCTCAAGACTATAACACAGAATACCTGCCTGAGTTTCCAGCCTGCCCTATGGATTTCAGGCTTCAGACTGCAACATCACCTCTTGCCTTAGTTTGCAGCCTGCTGGTTTCTCTGAAGAACCCTGACTGATAAAAAAGGGTACTATGAAAATTAAGTAAGAGTACAGGGATTCCCCAACTTATGACATACTTGAGTTATGATGAACTGCACTTACGATCTTTTTTTTTTGGGGTATCGTATCGTTAGTAATATGGACTACATACAATGCTGCAGTGTGTAATTTGCTGATGTCATATCTGTAAGTTTGTATGTCATGTTTCCAGCTCCCAAAGACAAATAAAGGTTGAATTTTTAAAAGATACTGATAATAAAACAAAATAATGAAAACAAAAAAAAACAAAAAAAAGCGGTATTTGACTTAAGTCCGGACTGACTTAGAACAGAGTCAGAACAGAATCCTGTCGTAAGTCAGGGACTACCTATATTGAAAATGATAAAAATTAGATCTCTTCTTCAAAATATATACAAAAATACATGGTCAAATGGCGTAAAGATCTAAAAGTGAAAAAACTAATTTATTTTAGAAGTAAACATGAATATCTTTATGACAGTAAGAAGCACAAACCAGGAGGAAGATAGAGAAATCAATATTAAAATAAAACTTTTGTATGACAAAAATCTGAAGTGAAAATACAAATTACGGAGAGAAGACATCCGCAACCCATATAAATGTCAGAGGATTAGTATTCAGAATATACAGAGTACCTCAAATCAATAGGAAAAAGACAAAACATCACAATACAAAAATTAGCAAAGGATATTAATAGGTAGTACACAGTAGAGGAAACCTAAACAGACAATACAGAAAAATGTCATTAATTTCAATAGCAATCAGAAAAAATACAAGTTAAAACAACATCAAGAACACTATTTCAAACCCATCAGATTGGCAACAGGCCAATAACATCAAATATTGGCAAGAATATGGGCAGTAGGCACTCTTACATATTACTGGTGGGAAACAAAAACGGTACTTTGCCGAACAATATTGAAATACCTAGGTTAAACAGACAATATGAATGTCTCACATCCCAATAGTCCTACTAGCTATACGTCCAAGAGAAGCTCACGCACATTTTACAAGAATGCCTGAGTACTATTTGTAATAGCAAAAGGTGGGGAAAATCTAACTGAACCTCAGTAAGAAAAAGGCTCTAACTGCAATGTTATATTTCCTTTAAAAAAAAAAAGACACTAAGAAAGCAAAATGTTAACATCTGTTTAATCTAGTCGCAAGGATTGTTATATGTTGTTTCCTACACTTTTCTGTGTATCTGGAAGATTACATAATTTAAAACTCAGAAATTGCAAAATAAACTTAACCAGCAATATTATCCTTAACATTTACAACAGGTTAAAAATTAAGTATACGTATACAAGTGACCTCAATTTACAAAAACAATAGTAATGAGTAGTGCTGTTTATATAAAACTCTCTACAATCTATCACACAGTTAAGTCAAAGCTTTTATTGCTCTAGTCTTAGAAATAATCTTATGAAACTGCTGACCCCTGCAATGTTTACTCAAAAGTAGGGAATGGAAAGCAACAAAACCTACTCCTTTCTGAATCTAATCTCAATATATATTATCTTTTAATATCATTAACCTTATTAACATCTACCACCAGCAGACAAGCACACCAAAACATCAGGACTCTTGAGGAGAGGGAGACCCCTGTAGTTCTGAAAAGTCGCCCTGTTTTTCTAACCAATACCAGGCTGGCTTCCCCAAGTCCCATGGACTCCAGGCTAAGATTAGGCACTCTCAAAAGTCAGTAATGATAGCTAATACTTAGAGTACCTACTATATGATGAACACTGTTCTAAGGACTTCTAACATTTAACTCTTCATCCTCAGAAACACTCTTTGAGGTCAGTACTCTTATTATTCCCATTTTTCTGATAATTGAGGCACACAGAGGTTAAATAATTTGCTTAAGGTTAACTAGCTAATGGCGGTGGTGGTGGTTCAGTGGTAGAACTCTCACCTTCCATGTCGGAGACCGAAGTTCGATTCCTGGTCAATGCACCTAAAGTGCAACCACTACCCACCTGTCAGTGGAGGCTTGCGTGCTGCTACGACGCTGAACAGGTTTCAGTGGAGCTTCCAGACTAAGATGGACTAGGAAGAAAGGTATAGAGATCTACTTCTGAAAATGAGTCAATGAAAACCCTACAAATCACAATGGTCCAATCCACAAACATCATGGGTATGGTGCAATGCATGCAGCTGCCATGAGTCGGGCTGACTAGACGGCAGCTAACAACTAGCTAGTAAGTGGTGAAGCCAAGATTCAAATTCAGGCAGTTTGGCTCCGGAACATACACTCTTAATGGGAAACCTCTGCTGCCTTATCAGACAATCAAAAAAGGTTTACCAGGAAAACAACCTGAAAGTTACAAATAAGTATCTTTAAAATTAGATTAAAAGAAAAAAAGATAAAACCAGGGTCTCCAAAGCATTTTTAGTCTGTTTTATTCCTTGCTAAACATTAAAAAAATTTAAAAACTACTGTGATATTCTATATCCTGCTTTGAAAATCAGTCCCATTTTTCATTGCTCTTGTCTTTTAGAGAAAGGTTTCTTTGTAATATAACAATTCGTGCATTTTATTTCACCTTCTTTATTAAGATGGTTGCATAAAAGATATACATTCTCATATTGACAATTCTTGTCATGAACAAAAGCAAAAAAATAAGGCAATAATAGCAAAATATGCTTCATAATATGAACAATCACGTTGTAAGAATAGGAGGTCTGGATCCCTGTACAACAAGATTAGGAAGCAAAATGTTAATAAGCCCTGTACTCAGAGTATACCCAAATGTGTGTGCAAAGACTGTGCACCCATAATATAGCTCACGTAGGATCCTTTGTTTTTACAATGCATAATTCCTTAATCATCCATTTGTGAACCAAGAATGAACATGAAGAAATATCAAATACAAATCGCATCTATTTTCACAATATCAATGCTAAACTCAAAACAGCAACTTCATTGACTCTAAATGTTAAATGCTTCAAAAGTGAAAGGCAATCTTAATTTTTTTTTTTTAACACTGAATGGGGTCTGCCAAAAATGGTGGATTATTTCACTCTACTCGGAAGGAGGCAAGGTCTCAGCCCATGCTCAAGCAGCATGAGCAACAAAGGACAACAAATATCACTAAGAGTAATGCTCACACATTTCAAAATATCTAGCTGAGCCATGGTCTTCTACTTATATAACAGTAAGCCTATTGAGCAAACGGCATAATGGAAGCTTACACCTCACATGACAGGATTACTAAATTAAGTATACATCTATCAGAAATTTCCATACCCCTGCTCCCAAAACAATTTTAGTACACTATTAAGTACTGCATGCCATTGAGAAAAACAAAGTATACACCCAGTCTTTGCAATTAAAAAATTTTTATAACGTGAATAATGCTCAGATATAAATTCTGAACTAAAAATTTTTTCTAAATATGATTTATATAACCCAGGCTTCTTTAACAAAGACAGGTCTTAGTATGTGGTCTATATAAACTTACAGTAGTGTTATTCCAAATAAAGATTTTCTTCCTATTATGATATGACAATATAACTATTTTCTGAGTAAAGGTACATGTTAAGCCTTAAGGTGTGAACACTTTGGAAGGCAAACAACTTAGTGAAATAACTGTTTATTTAAAAATGTGTATCATCTCATAATAGGCTCCTGAACTTTCAAATTTACATGAGAGAATACATTTACATCTTAAATTTTTAGGAAAGACACAAGCTTTATGTAAAAAGACAGCAAAATTTTAAACCCACCAATTCATTGAAAAATCCATTACTTTTATTATAGAATAATTACTTCTCAAGATGTTGTTAACAGGTCATAATATAGACATGTATTTCACACAGTGTATTTCTCCCTTTAATTACATTCCAGCAGGTGGTGGGATACCTCCTTGGCCATGTGCAGCAGAAGTATTTGATGGACTATGTAAGCTGGTCTCCTTGTACACAAACCAAGCATTTCCTCCCCAGAGTATCATATTCAGAAATCCAAAGATCTATGAAAGAGAAAAATAAATATAAAAATCTAAAACCTAATTAAAAATTCATTTCTATCCCAGTTTTCCTTTATAAATTTGGCATTTCTAGGCAGTATACAATTATTTAAGGCGCCCAGGTGGTACAGCGGTTAAAGCTAAATAAAAGGTCGGCAGTTCCAACCCACCAGCTGCTCTGAGGAAGAAAGGTGTGGCAGTCTGTTTCTGTAAAGAGTATAGCCTTTGAAATCCTATGGGATAGTTCTACCCTGTCCTATAGGGTCACTATGAGTCAGAATCAACTCGACGGCAGTGGGCTGTTTTACGCCATTATTTCATTTAAAGTTTAATATTACTTACAAAATGGAATAAAAAAGGGAAGACTTTACATTTTAATGTACCAAATTTGGACTTGTAACGACCTATTGCCAATGAAATGAAGCTAAACCTCTAAATCTGTAACCTATAAAATGACTAAAAGAAATTTTATTTTTAAATGTCAATTATTACCAAAAAGATGGGATAAATTTGAGAAAACGAACACTCTCCTTTTAATACTTCGTATTTAGACTGATGCTTCAGGGTGCAGAGGAACAACAAGACTCCATGTTTCCTTCTTTTGGGGACCTGCAGTTTTCTCCCATTCTGATGGGTTATAAACTGCCCTTGTTTACCTTTTCTTATTTCCCTCCTTTCTCCCTCTACTATCATCTCTACTACTTCAACAGCTGCAGCCAGAAGAGGAGTCACAGAAGAACTTTAGTTCACATCTGCATTAAAAACTTAACTCATTTGTGTCAAGTCGATTCCAACTCATAGCGACCCTACAGTACAGAGTAGAACTGCCCCATAGGGCTTCCAAGGAGAGGCTGGTGGAGTCAAACTGCTGACCTTTGGTTAGCAGCTGAGCTCTTAACCACTATGCCACCAGGGTTTCCACATCTGCATTAGTCAACCTAAAAAGATATTAAACTTCTCAGATATAAATCCGACAATATGAAAGTCTCAGAGATGAATAAATGGAAACTAACCTATTTTAATAATCCTTTATAAATGTAATAATAATACTGACTTATAAAGTAAGAGTGAAGTTAAGAAGCTTGTGAGAGTTATTACTATTATTACTGAAGGCCAAATGCTTTATATCTTTTTACATATTTGTATTAAAAAACAACATTTCTGAAACTGTTCATCTCATATCACTGTCAATATAAATGCAAAAAAAACCCTGACTTTTAAATTACAAAGTTATAAAACAAAAATTTGGGTGAATTGCTTTACAAGGTAGTGCTGACTTCATTCACTGAAAAAATATTTTCTTGAAAAGACAGCAGACATCTCCAAGCATAATATACTCAATATTAATGATGGTCTATACTATATCCCTGAAGTACATAATTAATAGTACACTTATTTATTACTATTTTGGTAAACTGGCAGAGTAAACAATATTTAACACTTTATGTAACTAAAATTTTATAGATTATGTATGAAACCATAATAGTATTACTTTCAGTTGCACAGAGCAACTTAGAGTTAGAGAGAAGGCTTTAAAGTCAGATTTGGATTCAAACCCTGGCTTGCCACTTGTTAGTTGTGTCACCCTGGATGAATTAACTTCTGAGCCACATTTTTTTCCCAGTTGTAAAATGAACAGCATAATACCACCTTCCGCATTCCTCTTAGCATTGCTGAATGACAGTGCCTGGCATACAGTCTTAACAAATGTTAGCAACTATTATTAGTGCCTTCGGGTAAAAGTCCCGCCTAGTCTATTTTAATTAAAGTAAGATTTAATCATGATCTCGTTCAAAACTATTTACGAGCAATAATTTACTTAACAAATTTTTCTTAATGTTACAAAGGTATTAGTTGTTGTCGTTACGTGCCGTTGAGTTGGTTCCAACTCAAAGTGATCCAATGTACAACAAAAAGAAACACTGCCAAGTCTTGCGCCATCCTCACAATCATTGCTTATGCTTGAGCCCACTGTTGCAGCCACTGTGTCAATTCATCTCACTGAGGGTCTTCCTCTTTTTCAATGACCCTCTACTTTACCAAGCAAGATGGCCTTCTCCAGGGACTGGGTCCCTCCTGATTACATGTCCAAAGTAAGTGAGAAGAAGTCTCACCATGCTTGCTTCCCAGGAGCATTCTGGCTGTACGTTTTCCAAGACAGTTTGTTTATTCTTCCGGCAGTCATGGTGTATTCAATATTCTTCGTCAACACCATAATTCAAATGCATCAATTCTTCTTCGGTCTTCCTTATTCATTGTCCAATTTTCACATGCATGTGAGGCAGTTGAAAATACCATGGATTGGGTCAGGCGCACCTTAGTCCTCAAAGTGATATCTTTGCTTTCCAACACTTGAAAGAGGTCTTTCTCAGCAGATTTGCCCAACGCAATACATCATTTGATTTCCTGACTGCTGCTTCCACGGGTGTTATAAAGGTAAATACTATATAGTTAGGATTCTGATAGCTTTTAGTAAAAATAAAAATCAATAGTATATTCACCCAGAGATTTATTAAGAAAAAATACTGCTTTCTTAAATTACTACCTAGTAAGGTTTTTCTAACAAGTGAAATAAAAAAAAATTTTTTAGAAATAATGCATACATACCACAGATACATTTAGGGATCCCATACTGGTCACAGAGTCAAAATAACACGTCACTTCTGGTTGCTTACAAGCGTCAAGTTCCTGAATAATGTTGTGACCGGTAGCTATTTTAATATCTGTAAGAGCTTTAGCCCAGGCTGAAGTGCTCACCAACCACAAAAAAGTGGCAACAAGAGTAACAACAAAGTCCTAAAGCAAAAATAATAATGAGTTAATAATGAACAGTCAATTTAAAAATACTACACTTCAAATCCATGATGAAGGAATTGAGATTGCGTTTAACTTTACTGTACTGGGGAAAGAAAACAAAAAAAAAAAAGGCCTTTATGATATACTTTAAAAAAAAAAAAGTCACAGTCAACCTAGTAAATGTTGTTGTTTACTACTACTAGCGTACTGTCTGAGATATAACGGTAAACCAGATTCAATTATCTCCTCAAGATCCCGAGATTATACACTGGAAACCAAAGTTTTAACTAGTCCTAACCATAATCTAAGGAGCCCTGGTGGTACAGTGGTTAAGTGCTTGGTTGCTAACTGAAAGGTCAGAGGTTCAAACCTACCAGCTGCTCTGTAAGATGTGGCAATCTGCTTCTGTAAAGATTACAGCCTTGGAAACACTGTAGGACAGTTCTACTCTGTCCTATAGGGTCACTATGAGTCAGAATCATAATCTTACCTCAGTCACTTACTTCTAGGATCCTACCTTAGACCTTGTCATCACCAATAACTGTACTTGTCTGTAATCTCTACTTCAACCATCCCGCTCTTCAATCATCACCTCTCTTTTCAGCTCATTCCCTCTGGCACCTCAATCCCAAAAATCTTTTGACCCCACCACACCTACAGTCTGATTCTACCACCTTTTCACTGTCTCTCAACCTCATGTGTGTTCTCATTTCCCTCCTTCACCAGTTTATATTCCCAGGTCTTCATTATAATCCCTGCATACACTCTCAACTCCCTTGTCCTGCTGCTGCTTCCTTATACTGTCTTGGCAAAACTAACTTTAATTAAATCATTCTCAATGAGGTAGATAATGAAATGGTAAAAAGCACACAGCCTGGCTGACTTGTCTCTCTTTAAACTCGTGACAATGAATTTCAACAATGCTCATTATATTAAGAAAAAGACAAAGAAATATTATCCCTCAAGACACCTTAGCACCAGTAACTTTCTACTAAATCTTTTGTTATTTAATTTCCAAGAATAGGACTGAAGGTTCTAATATTTTGAATAGCTTTTTATTGAACTAACAAGGAGAGGAAAAAAACACTTTCCTTTACCCAATACACCCTCCTGAAGAAAAAAAAATTTTGTCAAATAACATTAGCTACAAAGATTTAAATAACACTTAGAGTACACATTTACATAAAGTATAAGGCCCACTTTGTTCGACCTTTCCTCAAATTAATGACCAAACTGGCAATAATGCACAGTCTAAACCTTTTCTGATACTCTGCACATATAGGTGTACTCAAGGCTATGGCTTTTTACACTTCTATAGCAAAAAAATCTCTCCACCTCAGAATGGGTTTTGGAGCTTATCGCAGAGTGTTTTGTTTCTGAAAAAAAAAAAACCTGATTAGTTTTTAATTACTTTTGCCAGCAGGTGTTTAGTTATTTCTTTAGAATAAACAACCGTGTGCTCTTACAAGACACAGAAGTTAGACCTACATAATGTTCCTACCTGGTCAAGATGGTGTTTAATACATGCCTTTTGATTAGAGGGCCCAAAACAATTCTATAGGAATATTCTGTCATGGCAGTCTAATAAACAAATTATAAAACTTTGCAAATATGGGGGTATTTGCATTTTGTAATTGAGCTCTTTGATGCTACTGGTTGTCTTAAAAAATGTAGATCAAAGAGAAAAGCTTAGGAACAATATAGCTTAATTTTTTTTGCGCTCTGGGAGTTCTCTCCTTTTTGCAGCCTCACTGTGCTGTACTTCTCAACACCTGCTAGAAATACAATGACTTTTACAGAACTGGTAAGACAGTATGAGGTTATCACACGTTAAGCCAGTTCTCTCTAGGCCGAGGCTCTTAACTTTAACCCAATATATGTCAAATCCTCATAATTGTCATCTTTCCAAAATCCTAATTAAAAAAATACACACAGATTTTTTTGATCATACTCTTTATTTTGTCCATGGCTTAAGACATGACATTTTTTTATTTCAAAAGCAGGTACTTTTCTTTGCCCTGAGATAATCTTTAAACCTTAGACCAAAAATATCCCTGGAAGCTTTCTTAAAACCAAACAACAGTCGTCCTTACCTAGTAAAAAATACCTGCTTTGAGCATTATGCTCTTTTACGAACTATCTATATGGGATCAAAGTGACAACAGAAGTTTGAAAGGTTGGACAGGAACCCTTGGGAGCAGTGAGTTTAAGTTCATGAAGGAGGAACAACTCAGAAAAGGAGGGTGAGAATGGTTGCACAACTTGAATGTAATCAATGTCTCTGAATTGTACACGTAGAAATGGTTGAACTGGTGTATGTTTTGCCGTGTATACTCTCAACAACAAAAACAGCTACTTTTCTGAAAATGATTCATAAAGTAACCCTAGAGTGACAGAAAGTGGGGGAAAGCCTGTTGTCTAAAGATGGTCTCTGTCCTCCTCACAACTGACCACTATTCAACTCTAGATACAATGCCATCTCCATCTCTGCAGCGCACAACCTCAGCTGTCTGTGGCAGCCCTGGTCCCTACGAGGATATAATTCATAACAGATTTTTAGAATTTGGGATATTCCATCTTTGTATGGTTTAATTTTATGATATTCCTGACTCTGGACATCACCTACTACCATTAAGATCCTGTTACTAAACACAAAAAAGTGATACATGCTACTTAAAAAAAGAGAACTTAAGTAGATTCAACATTTCACAATTGAAATACTCCTAAAAATATGTCAGCCCAGAATCAAGAATAACTCTAAAAAACCATGTCATCTTTGACAAAGAGTAAAAATTGAGGTATCTCAAAAAAAAAAAAAAAAAACCAAAAAAAAAAAACCACTTTTTTAAAGAACATTTATATGGTTAAATCAAAAGCAGAATTAAAAATTTAATTTAAAAGCCAGACTTTTTACAGATAAGAAAACATCCATTATATTTCAACAAAATAACCACTCAAGAAACTAATTCTGAATTATCTCTCTATATGACCATTAAATTGATATTCTGAGGTGGGAAATTACTTTTGACTTTCCGAATAATGCAACTAGATCAATTTTATAGTTTTATCAGACAGAAAAATCCTCTACAAAAACAGATCTGAATGCTGCTTTAAGAAGCATGGTATTTTTAAAGTTTACTGGACAAAATATAAGAAATAAAGAGCTCACTGCCAGATTTAATATAATTTTTTTGTTGTTGGAATAATGACAACATGACAAGCAATGTGATCACTTAGAACTTATATTATGAAAAATCTGTACTATCATCCTAGTCCCCTTTTAAATAAGGCTTTTCTTGAGACATCTGCAGAAGTTATGGATTCCTAATATATAATTCCTATTGAATAAGCACTGCAAGTTAAAGTAATTGATGTCTATCTTTTTGAAAGCTAACAACCCAGAAATGTTTCATAATAACATCTGGTTTAAGAATCTCTTCTAACACGTAAGAAACTGAACAAATCTGAAAGAGAAAAGATTGTTGTATTTTATACTTACCATTTGCATGCTTATGATCCAGGCAGCAAAAATTAAAAATAAATAAATAAAACTTGTTATCTTATTGAGCAATTTCTTCATACCTAAATAGCCTTTAAAATAACTGCACAAATATTTAGCAGACATGTTTTCTCAGAGAGGTAAATGACCAGTATCACAAAACACCTCTGTTCTCCCTTCAAATTAATGGCACTAAAAATGAGTTTATAGTTATTATCTGTAGTGGAGGTCCAGCTTAAAACCATGGCTTATCTCTGGATTTGCCACCAACAATCTCGAGCAAATTCTACTAACTAAATCTCATAGATTATTTTTTATTTCTAGCTCAATAGACTTAAAGCCAAGCATGGTACCAGGATTTCAATTCAAATCCTTTGTTGGCACCTCAAAGATTTAAAATTAGCTCATGGATGCCACTACTGCTGAATATAAGAATTATCTGGGTCAGATTTCAAATTAAGGCGTTCAGGAATATAGACCCGGAGTTGGTTAATTTTTTTCTGTAATGGGTCAGAAAGGGCCAAATATTTTTTATCTCTGTCACAACTACTTAACTCTGCCATTATAGCATGAAAGCAGTCATAGATAATACGTAAATGACTGGGTATGGCTGCGTTCCAAAAAACATTTTATTTTGAAAAAGCAGACAGCAACCCAGATTTGGCCTGTTGGTCATAGTTTGCTGATCGCTGATATAGACTATGAAGTTCAAGGAGACATTGCAGAAGCATAAAGGAGGCCTTCTGAGGAAAAGAGTTAAAAGGTAAGAAGTATGAACACAGAACCACATTACTGGTATGATCAGCAATTCTTTAAACTAAAGGCATTGATTAGATTAACTGAAGAAAATTTATCTAATTTCTCTGCTACTTTCAACCTAATATGCTTCATCACATACTTGAGTTTTCTTCCAGGTTAAAACAGAGCTAAAAACAAACCATTCCTTGAGTACAGAAAATGCTGCAAATACGCTAAAATAATTAGGTGAACCTGGTAACAGGAGAAAGCTCAACCTTATGGCAAACATAAGTCAAATATGGTGAACTGGCTTATGCCTAAAATTTTTATTCCCTGTGTAAAGAAACCTATATTTAAATTCACATATAAGTTAGCTGAAGTTATACTTAGCTGAAATTATTTTTGTATACAAATGGGGTGATTACTTACAATCATGGGAAGCTTTCGACTATCTCGATACAGGTTAGTGTAACCAACATAAAGCAGAAGAGCAGCAATGCAGTACAGGAAGACAAAGACTGCAAACGTAACATAGAATTGTGCAGAGGAAGAGTAATCTCCTATAAGGAAATAACTGCTCCATTTTTTACCACACAGTTCTTCTCCTGAAGCTGTCTGAAATGATGCCTGATTCAACCTATTAAAAAAAAAAAAAAAAGCTCAAATAAATCCATGAATTACTAGACTCTCCCAACAGAAGAGAAAGCCTATAATATTTAGATAGAAATACATAAGCAGAATACTGAAATGGCCCTTAAAAGAATACTCTCGAAATACAGTCAAAACATTGTCCTTTTGGGAAAAAAAGTAAAATTCAAATATTTAAGTACACTGAAATTTTAATAATAAATGTACATAAATTATACTTGGCAATTTGATTTATGATAGATTGAGTACAGACTTAATTAAAGACTTTCAAACTCAGATACTATCTTCCTGCAGTAGTACCTTAGCAGATTAAGAGATCTTATATCACAATAAAAACATCTTGTATCAACTTAAGACATGATATTCTATTCTAGGAGGCAGAGTCTGTGACTAGCACCAAGAGAGCCAACTGTAACAATGATTTACGTTTTAACCCTAGATTAGCTGCTAACTTCACACTGTCTTTACTCTTCCTCATTCATAAATGTAAAAGTATTTATCATTAAAGATGCTGGTAGCACCGGGAGAAGGGATGGGAGATGAAGAGGCATTGATAAGCAAGCACTGGGTATCAGACACTATATAAGATTTTATTTAATCATCAAAACACCCTTAAGTTATTATTTCCAATTTACTAGAGGAAAAAATGGAGTCTTAGTGAGGTTAAGCAAGTAGAGTTAAGTAAGTGGAAGAAGATTCATATTCTGGATAGTACACAGGACAGATTCAATAAACTTTTTAAGGAACACTGCAGTCAAACAGAAGAAAGATTTCACAAACAAAATATTCATTTAAATTTGATAGTAAGAAAATAAGGTTTTATGCCAATAAAATATAGGCAATCCTCACTGTAGATAAACATATGTCTTAAAACTATATAAAAATAACACTATTAGTAATTACAAAAATGTGAAAAATGTGGATTTTTACAAGTTGTACTTCTACATCAGGGCTTCTCATACAAAGATGAGGGAGCAGTTTTTTCTATGTTTATTTTTTAATTTCTAATCAGTTGTGGGCTGACACAATAAAAACATCAAGGCTATGTCAAATTGCTCTAAAACTTTCTAAATACTTACTCTCACTTTCAGTATGCATATAATCACAGACCAAACAGTTTACAGAAGGCACTGGTCTGTGTGCCACAGTTTGAGAAGCACTGATCACCTACAAATAAACATGCAATCTAATATTTTTTATCCCCTGTGATCAATACATTGCTGGGACTCTTAATGAGTCAACATGAAAGTAAAAAGAGTTGTTAAACCATAAAAACAAATAAATAACTCACCTGAATGGATAACCAAAAGCAGCTGTAACAGTGTTATTGTTACCATTAGAACAAAGCACCTGAATTTCTGTTTTGCCCTTATAACATCCACAGGTGGCAAAAGCAAAGATGGAAGCAATCTACACAAAGTGAGACCAAAGAAAAAGAGAAGCATTACTATACCCACAATATGGGTCATTAAAACCCTAAATCTGTCACTTACCAAAAACTGGCTCACTAAAATTCTAGAAATTCTTCATCATAAATTAAATCTAGATGGTGAAAAACATTTCCAAATGCATTTACAACTCTCAACAAATGTGATTTTATTTTCTCGAGTACAACAGAGAAATTAATATACCAGTCCTCCAACGAGTCATTTGCTCATCTGTCAGGGTACTTACTAATATTATTCTGAAATTCAGAGGAAGACTTACTTTTTAGCATCAAAATCAAAATGGCTGACAACAACAAAAGACAAACAAGTTGTGGTTCAAGGTTTAAAGAGTATCTCAGGGTAATAGTCCCGGGGAGCCCTCCAGTCTCAGCCAGTCCAGTAAGTCTAGATTTTTTAAGAATCTGAGGTTCTGTTCCACATTTTTCTCCCATTCTATCAGGATCCATCATTGTGGCCCTGATCAGAATAACCAGTGGTGGTGGCTAAGCACCATCTATTTCTTCTGGTCTCAGAGTAGATTAGGCCGTGGTTCGTGTAGACTAGTTTCTTATTTGAGTCTTTGGTTTCCTTCTGTCTCTTTTGTTTTTAAGACTCAGACATTTACTCACCAAACTAGGATGTAGAACATGAAGTTATGAACTATATCAAGTTGTCCCAAGAGACTATGGTCCTAAGCCTTCAAACACAGAAAACCAATCCCGCAAGGTGTTTGGTTATGTGTAAGAAGTATTTGCCCCCTATGTGCTGTATTATATATAAGAATACATATATATACACACACATACATGCATATACATACATGTTTCATTACTTTGTAGAAGAGAACTTTCCAAATATTTAAGTTATGGCTTCATTTTGCACAGTTCATCTTTTTTTAATTCTTACTTTATTTTTAATTGTGCTTTAGATGAAGGTTTACAGAGCAAATTAGTTTCTCATTAAACAATATATATTTTGTTTTGTGACACTGGTTGCCAACCTCATTACATATAAAGTTTGTTTAAACAATGCATTGTGTATGTTTCTAAATTTACGTATACACACAGAACAAAAACTACAAAGCTTATACACCAAACTTTTTAACAGTGGTCACCTCTCAATGGAAGATAACCGATAATTTCTTTTTCTACTTATATCTTCAAGTTTTCAATAAAACAAACAAAACCCAGCTATCTTGTAGTGACCAAGAGCGCAATCCTTCAGCAAATCCTGATGACTATTTTTAAAACCTATTTGGAATCTGACCGCTTCTTAACATTACCATCACCTCTCACCTGGATTATGCACCAACGGCCTTCTAACTAATTCTCCTGCTTCGGCTCTTGCTCCCACTTCAGTCTCTTGTTAACAAGATAGCCAAGGTGATCTTTTAAAAATATAAGGCAGAAAACATTAACCTCTGCTTAAAATCCTCCAGTGGATTCTGAGCTCTCTCTGAATAAAAATCAAAGTTCACACTACGCCTATAACGTGCTCTCCTTGCTTAGTATTTCTGACCTCATGTTGCTCTTTTTCTCTTGCCTAATACGCTCTGCAAGCAGTCCTGTGTGGCGCTGTGGTTAAGCACTCGGCTGCTAACCGAAAGGCTGGTGGTTTGAACCTACCAGCTGCTCCGTGGGAGAAAGATGCAGCAGTCTGCTTCTGTAAAGATTTACAGCCTTGGAAACCCTACGGGTCACTATGAGTTGGAATCGACTCAGTGGCAATAAGTTTGGCTTTTGGGTTTAATATGCTCTACACAAAATGGTCTCCTTGCTATCCCTTAAACACACCGGATAAACTTCTACCTCAGGGCCTTTGCACTGGCTATTCCCTCTGCCTAGAAAACACAGTTCACTCCCCTCTCTTCCTCAGCTCCCCATTTCAATATGACCTAATCAGAGAGGCCTTTTCCTAACTACACTATATAAATATAGCAGTGGTTTTCCCACCCCATACTAGCTATTCCCTTTACTTATTGTCTTAGTCATCTAGTGCTGCTACAACAGAAATACCACAAGTGGATGGCTTTAACAAAGAGAAACCATTCTCTCACAGTCTAGGAGGACAGAAAGCTTTCTTTCTCTGCTGGTTCTGGAGGAAGATCCCTGTCATCAATCCTCCCTTGGTCCAGAAGGTTCGCCGCGCAGGAACCTCAGTTCCAAAGAACACACTCCACTCCCGGAGCTGCTTTCTTGGTGGTATGAAGTCCTCATGTCTCTGCCTGCCGCTCTCTTTTATAGCTCAAAAGAGATTGGCTTAAGACACAATCTAACCTTGTAGATTGAGTCCTGTCTCATTAACATAATTGCCAATAATGCCATCTCATCAACATCATAGAGAAAGGATTTACAACACACAGGAAAATCACATCAGATGACAAAATGACAAAATGGTGGACAATCACACAATCATGACCTAGCCAAATTTATACACATTTTTTGGGGGGACAGAATTCAATCCATGACACTTATGCTGCTCTATGTTTCGTCTGGAGTCCCTGGGTAGTGCAAATGGTTAATGCACTCAGCTGCTAACCAAAAGGTTCGAAGTGTGAGTCCACCCAGAGGACTACTTTTGAAAAAGTCAGCCACTGAAAACCCTATGGACACAGTTCTACTCTGACATGAGCTGGAACTGACTCCACAGCAACTGGTTTTGGTTACTTTTTCTCTATTGTAAAACAACTGCCTGACGTAGTACTTAATGGTTTGTTTGCCCGTCTTCCTTCACTAGAATGTAAACCCCTAAAGGTCTGGAACTTCGTTTTGCTCAAGGTCACTCACACACCTAGCCAGTGGTAGATAAAATTCAGCCCACTGATCACTGATATAATGTCTCTTATGGATTACTCTAGGGCTTTTTTTTTAAAATTTTTGGTTAAAGTTTACATAGCAAGTTAGGTTCTCATTTAACAATTTCTATACATATTGTTCAGGGACATTGGTTATATTTTCCACAATATAAGCATTCTCATTACTTCCATTCTAATTGTTCTGTTTACCTTAATCTAGCTTCCTTGTCCCCCCTTACCTTCTCATGTTTGATCTAGGGGAAATGTTTACCATTTGGTTTCATTTAGATGATTATTTAGATGAGCAAAGTACTCACAGGTGACGTTATTTATTTTTATGGGCCAATCTGTCTTTTGGCTGAAAGGTGACTTCTGGGAGTGGTTTGAGTTCCAAGTTTAAAGGGTCTCAGGGGTTCATCCAGTTTCTATCAGTCCAGCAAGGAATTTTTTTTACGAATCTGAGTTTTGTTCTACGTTTTTCTTGCACTCTATCTGGGATCATTTATATTGAGTCCCGGCTGGAACGGTTGTTTGTTGTAGCTGGGCACCATCTAGTTCTTCTGGTCTCAAGGAAGGTGAGGCCGTTTTTTGTGCAGACTCTTAGTTCTGTAGACCAGTTTCTTCTTTGAGTTTTGTTTTCCTTCTTTCTCTTTTGCTCCGGATGAGCGAAAACCAATAGTTTCCTCTTAGGTGCCCACTTGCAAGCTTTTAAGACCCCAGCCAATACTCACCAAACTAGGATGCAGGACACTGTCTTATATTGTGCTAAATGACCAAGTTACACCACAAGACGATGGTCCTAAGCCCTCAAAAACCAGTAAACCAATCCCATGATGTGTTTGGCTTTGTCTAGTAAGTATCCATAACTGTGCCCCCTATGTGTTTTATTTTATATTTGAATCTATATGCAGCACTCATAAACATGTATATACATATGCCTACAGTAACACCCATACATCCACTTCTGTATATTCATACATGCCTTCCTGTACATACATATGCATACATATCTATGTAATCATACACATATTTTTAAGTTATTATTACTGTTGTTGCAAAACTATAATCCTCCAATGAGTTTTTCTCCTTTTTTGATAATTTCCACACAAATTGTTCACTGATCTTAGTTACATTTATCACAATTTATTAGCATTCTCTTTTAATTGTGTCTATACCTGTCTATACCCTTCTATTTGGGCTTAAAGATTCATCTTTACTATGATTGTGACTCTAGGGTCTTGAATCTTATACACCATAAGAAGGATAATAATAGCTCTACAGGGATTTTCATTTTTCCATGAAGAACAGCTATATGAAAAGGAATCTGGTTTCAGATATTAAGAGTCTGAGGTAATGTCCAGCAAGTACTTTAGAGTATTCTATTAAGAGATAATAGGTGAAGACAAACAAATGTATACTCTCTCAGATATACAATGAGTGTGCATGAATACACTGAGTGAAAACAGTACAGGAAATAAGTCTTGGGCATACACCCACATTTAGGGTTAGGGAAAAGAATGGAGATACACATGGAACAGAATGAAGAGGCCAGAAACAGAAGTGTATATAGAAAAATTCTGTCTAACAGAGTTGGCATTGTAGATCACTGAGAAAGCAGGGTAGTTATAAAAATATGTCCACAAATTTTTTGATATTCCTCCCCTCAAGAGGTGGAGCTTAATTTCCTTCTGGAGTGTGGAATGGACTTAGTGATTTGCTTCTAATTTGGTGAAAGGAATGGGTATCCTTTTCGAGGTTAGGTTACAAAAAAACTGCAACTTCTGTCTTCCCCTCTTACTCTATTGAATCATGTTCTCTGGGGGAAGCTGCCACATTGGGAGAATACTCAGGCAACCTACAGGGAAATCCATTTGGTGAGGAACTGAGGACTGCTAGCAACCACGAGTGAGCTAGGAGGTAGATCCTCCCCTAGCTGAGCCTTGAGATGACTGCAGCCCCAGTCAACAGCTTGCCTGCAACCTCATGAGACCTGAGCCAGACCACTAAGCTAAGCTGCTCCCAGATTCCTGACCCACAAAAACTGTGATATAATAAATGTTTGTTGCTTCAACCACTAAACTTGGAGTAATTCGTTATATACCAATAGATAACTAATACAAGGAAAGACTACTCAATAAATTGCCCGGATGGGCTGCAGACTTAATAAAAAGCACATCCTTAAAAATTTT